AACTAAAAGGAAAAAATAATGATAATGGAGGAGCCAGAGATAACTTGGGGGAACAAACCAAAAAACTAAATAAATGAATTAAAAAGAATGATCTAATTAGTATCCTCTTAGAAGATGGTGCAGTCGCAAAATAAGAATTGGTTGCAATGCTAAATGCAAACTCAGAGTACAAAAGAGAGGCCTTCCTAAAGTCACCAGCAGCCCTAACAATTTATGACATTGCCATAATGATGTGTGGAGCAGAAGGAAACTTTTCTACACCATCAACTAGAATGAATTTTGACCAGCCATGGAGACAAGTTACCTTTCTATGCTCTCTACTGAGAATGGTATTACAAAATCATTCTCCTATGCAGAGGCTATCTAAAAGTAAACAGCTAAAGTTTATAGGGGGAAAAAGTGTATAAAAGTGTGTTGAGCAGTTAATTAATAAAACTTTGCATTTCCCTGGCCATCAGCTTTTTATTTTTGTTTTTAATTTAAAAAATTTTTATTGAATTTGTTGGGCTGACATTGGTTAATAAAGTTATACAGGTTTCAGGTGCACGATTCTACAACACATCATCTGTACACTGTGTTGTGTGTCCACCAGAGTCAAGTCTCCTTCCGTCGCCATCTGTTCCCGTCTCCCCTGCACTCTCTTCTACCTCCCCCACCCCACCTTCCCTCTCATTATCACCACACTCTCCTGTATCTGACTTTTTCTTTGCTTAATCCTTTCAGCTTTTCCACCCAGCCCCAACCCCCTTCCCCTCTGACAGCTGCCTGTGTACACTTTTATTTAGCCTTCTTTTTTCTTTGCATATATCTGTGCAATTTCCCCAACAAAATTTATTGACTAGGCTAGCCATACCCCATTGTATGTTCTGCCTCCTTTGTCAAATATTAATTGACTATAAAGTCATGGATTTCTTTCAGGGCTCTCTATTCTGCTCCATTGATCTATGTGTCTGTTTGTATGCCAGTACCATGCTGTTTTGGTTATTATGGCCTTGTAGGACAGTTTGGTGTCAGGCAGTGTGATTCTTCCCATTTTGTTCTTTTTTTCTTAAGCCTGCTGTAGTTATTTGGGGTCTTTTTCTGTTCCATAGAAATTTTTGGAATACTTGTTCTAGTTCCATGAAGTATGCCTTTGATATCTTGATAGGAATTACATTGCATCTATAGATTGTTTTGGGTAGTATGGACATTTTGATTATGTTAATTCTTCCTCCCCATGAACATGATATATACTTCCACTTATTTGTATCTTCTTCAGTGTCTTATCGTTTTCTAAGTACAGGTCTTTTACATCTTGGTTAAATGTATTCTGTGGTAATTTTTCAAGCAATTGTGAATGGAATTGTTTTCTTAGTTTCCCTTTCTGATAGTTCACTATTAGTGTATAAAAATGCAACTGATTTCTAGATATTATTTTGTATCCCAGTACTTTACTGAATTCATTGATCAGTCCTAGTGGGATTTGGGAGGACTCCTTGGGGTTCTCTGTATACAGCATCCTGTCAGCTGCTGGGACGATTGTTCATTGTGATTGGGTGGGAGTTCACTGACAGGTACACATGCAGAGAGTCATCACACAATACCCTGAAGGTGGTTGCACGTTGAATTACTTTTTTTTTTTAGATTTTATTTCTTTATTTTTAGAGAGGGGAGGGAGGGAGAAAGAGAGAGAGAGAAACATCAATGTGCAGTTGCTGGGGGCCGTGGCCTGCAGCCCAGGCATGTGCCCTGACTGGGAATCGAACCTGTGATACTTTGGTTTGCAGCCCGCGCTCAATCCACTGAGCTATGCCAGCCAGTTCGAATTACTTTTTACCTCAATAAAAAAAATTAGTGAAAGATATATGGCATTGAAGTTAAAGAGAAAAAGAAGAATCTGAGAAGGTGCATGTTGTAAGCTGGAAAGCGCTTTTCAAAACCCGGCTGCTTTTATTATTCATCAAGCCTGAAGACATGGAGCTGCCAAGCCTCCTGTACCTTAAAACTCTGAGACGGCCTTCACAGGTCCCCTTCTCTTAGTTCCTCCCCCTCTCTGGCCACTCCTCAGTCTCTCTGGGATCCGGTTGCCTTTCTCTGCCTGCCTTTCAAGTGTTAGTGTCCACAGAGTCCCGGCCCATAACTGTGGCTACATGCTGTTGACCATCTCTGTGGCTCCAGCTCCCTCCTCAAGACCCACATTCATCCATTCAACAACTGTTCACTGTGTGTCTTTTTTTATTGCATGGGCTAAGACAGGGAGGAGAGAATTTATTTGCCCCCAGCTCCTTGCCCTCAAGCACACGGCCATCTGCATGGCCGCACTGGCCTGGTCTTGGAGCGATGATGCAAGAACCTTGCCCTGCTGGACTGCCCCTCTGGAAGACTGCTGATTTTGGCATTTTTTTCCTTTCATCATATTTCTTCTGAAATTTCTTTGATCGTGTTTTATTTAAAACCTCTTCCTCTTTAGGAGTCAGCCTGGCCCGTTATTGCAGCCACAGCCCCTACGGTGAGGGGTCGGTGGTCATGATGCAGTTCTTTACTAGGGTCGAGGTATGGACAAGGCTGATGTTGGATGCACTGCAGACAACAGCAGTGACTGCATTCTGCACGTACAGCACTCCGAGCCCCAGGAGCAGTTGCCCATGTCCAGCCTTAGGGCACGGTGCTTCTTGTTGCCTCCCTGCACTTGGACGGTGTGTCTGTGGTGGGGGTCCATCCCACTTTGGCAGCAGGGAGTCCTAGCTCATGTAGTCACTCTTTGTGGTGGGGCTTTCTGTTGCCCCCAGCCTTGCAGCTCTCATGCCAGTTGTCCTAAGGGAGGCCCCTGGGTTGGCACCAACTGGAAAGAGCTGGTGTCTTCTTACACCAGGTACATTTTTGGCCCTGGGACACGTCAGTGAGTGAAACAAAGATCCGTGCCTTCATGGAGCTCACATGGAGCCTAGATCTCACTCCCTGGATGTACCTAAGGCTCAGCCAGTCTCAAATGATCTCACTATCTGTACCCTTGATTCTCCCTGCCCCTAAACCTGTTCCTCCCACATGTTCCCCATCTCTGTGAGAGCACTGCCACTCTCTCAGAAACCTGGAAGGCATCCCTGACCTCTCTCCACTATGTCACCACAGGCTGACCACGCTGGGACCTGAGTCTCTCAAAACCCTCCACTGTCTGCATTTCCTGCCCCATTCTCATCCCTTCTCATCTGGCTTACTTACTAGCTGGTGTCTCTGCCCCCAGGCCTGTTCCTGACTATACTTCTCCACACAGCAGCTAGAATGAAGATAAAATGCAAATCGGAAATGGTTGCTTTCTGCCTAAACCTATCCAGTGGCCCTGCCAGATGGAAGTCTAAATTTCTTACCTTGTCCTCATGCCTGTGGCCATCAGGTGATAAGCACAACTGCTGAAACTGGGGTTCAAATCCCAACTTACTCACATGACCTTGGGCAAGTCTTTTAACTCTCTCCATGCTTTGTTATATAATGGGAACACTAATAGAACTGACCTCATGGAGCTGCTGTGGAGATTCAATTTGTTACTGCACATGGAGCACTAAGGGCCGTGTCTCACCCCCGGTATGTGCTGAAGGCCTGGTTTCTCTCATGGGGTTGACGTAATGTTTAAATAGGTTAAAACACCTAAGAGGCTTCACACAGCACCTCGCCCATCTTAAATGCTCTGTTATGTCAACAATGTTACCTCTCCAGCCTCACCGCTTGCCCTTCCTCCACACAAACCTGTGGAATAGGCTGTGGTTCTCTCTCCTACACCTCCAGGCTTTGGTACTGGGGTTTCTCCCTTCCATCTTTTCCTGGTGGTTTCCCACCAGTCCTCTGAGTCTGCTCAGGTATCAGTCCCTGGCTGTCCCACCCCAGGCTGGATTGGCTGCTCCTCCCTGACTCTCCTTCTGAGAAACTGCTCCCTTCTATCACAGCACACTGCCATTGTTCATCTAAAATGTCCTGAGCAGCAGCCATCAACAGAGGAAGGGATAAACAAAATGTGGTGTACACGTACAAGGAAACGTTATTCAGCCTTAAGAAGGAATGAAGTATGGACACATGCTACATTGTGGATGAACTTTAAAAAAAATTAGGCTAAGTGAAATAAGCCAGACACAAAAGGACAAATATTATGTGATGCTACTTATGTGAGGCACCTAGAACAGGCTAAATTATAAAGACAGGTTACCGGTGGCTAAGGGAAAGAAGGAATGGGTATAAAATTCCAGTTTGGAGTGATAAAAAAGTTCTGGAGATAGATAGTGTGATGGTTGCAGAATGTTGTGAATCTACTTAATGCCACTGACTTGTACACTTAAATATGGCTAAAATGATAGAATCTATGTTATGTATATTTAACCATGATAATTTTAAAAAAATATATTAATACTACCAGGTTCAGAAGCCCTACCCTAGAGATCTGGATATTCCTTGAGATGATCTGGAGACATCTGAATCATTAATATCAACATGTCCAATGTCTTTATAGAAGCAGACCTAACCTTTGCCTACCTCTTGGGTGTAGATGTCACAATTTTATTTTCTCATTTGTAAAAATAAAGACCATTCAAATGAAAAAAAATTAATATACAGAGAAGCAATTTAACCCAGTTGTTCTAATCTTGGCTCAAAATCTTGTATTCAACAGATTCATAAATACAAAGAACAGGTTGATGGTTGCCAGAGGGAAGGGGGATTGGGGAGATGCATGAAAAAGGTAAAGCAGTTAAGAAGCACAAATGGATAGTCACAAGAGAGTCACAGGGATGTAGATGCAGCATAGGAAATACAGTCAATGATATCACCCTAACTACGCTCAGTGCAAGGGGAGTGCTTGAAATATTGGGGGTAACAGTCTGTAAAGCATATGATTGTCACACCGCTAAGTTGCACACCTGAAACAAACTAATACTGAATGTAAACTGTAACTGAGAAATACAATTTTAAAAATCCTGGCTTCACCACTCTGTGACCTGGTATAAGGTATTATAACTTCTCACTAGCTTCTAAGGATCATGTCTATGAGTCAGGATTCCCGATCCAGAGACAATGGCCCCGAGGGAATGGAGCCTGGAGGCATCATTGAGAGTAACTGGAATGAGATTGTTGACAGCTTTGATGACATGAACCTCTCAGAGTCCCTCCTCCGTGGCATCTATGCCTGTGGTTTTGAGAAGCCCTCTGCCATCCAGCAGCGAGCCATTCTTCCTTGTATCAAGGGTTATGATGTGATCGCTCAAGCCCAATCTGGGACAGGAAAAACAGCCACTTTCGCCATATCAATTTTGCAACAAATTGAATTGGACCTAAAGGCCACCCAGGCCTTGGTCCTGGCACCCACTAGAGAACTGGCACAGCAGATACAGAAAGTAGTCATGGCTTTAGGAGATAATATGGGTGCTTCCTGTCATGCCTGCATTGGGGGTACCAACGTGCATGCTGAGGTACAGAAGCTGCAGATGGAAGCTCCTCATATCATTGTGGGCACCCCAGGCCATGTGTTTGATATGCTTAACCGCAGATACCTGTCTACCAAATACATCAAGATGTTTGTACTGGATGAAGCTGATGAAATGTTAAGTCGTGGATTCAAGGACCAGATCTATGACATATTCCAAAAGCTCAATAGCAATACCCAGGTGGTTTTCCTGTTAGCTACAATGCCTTCCGATGTGCTTGAGGTGACCAAGAAATTCATGAGGGACCCTATTCGGATTCTTGTCAAGAAGGAAGAGTTGACTCTGGAGGGTATTCGCCAATTCTACGTCAATGTGGAATGAGAGGAGGGGAAGCTGGACACACTGTGTGACTTGTATGAAACCCTCACCATTACCCAGGCAGTCATCTTCATCAACATTCGAAGGAAGGTTGATTGGCTCACTGAGAAGATGCACACCCAAGACTTCACCGTCTCTGCCATGCATGGAGATATGGACCAAAAGGAACGATATGTAACCATGAGGGAGTTCCGCTCTGGCTCTAGCAGAGTATTGATTACCACTGACTTGCTGGCCAGAGGCATTGATGTGCAGCAGGTTTCTTTAGTCATCAACTATGACCTTCCCACCAACAGGGAAAACTATATCCACAGAATCAGTCGGGGTGGACGTTTTGGCCGTAAGGGTGTGGCTATTAACATGGTGACAGAAGAAGACAAGAGGACTCTGCGAGACATCGAAACTTTCTACAATGCTTCCATTGAGGAGATGCCCCTCAATGTTGCTGACCTCATCTGAGAAGGGCTGGCCCGCCACCTCACCCCAGCCAGGGTTCAGCCCTTGTTGGGCTGAGGAGGAGCCGGAGGGAGGCGGGAAGGGAGCCAAGGGATGGACATCTTGTCATTTTTTTCTTTTTTTCCTTTGAATAAGTGTCACTTTTTGAGGCAAAGAAGGAACCGTGAACATTTTAGATACCCTTTTCTTTGGGGTAGGCTCTTGCCCCAGGCACCGTCTCTTCTTCCAAAAACACTAATCCACTTCCCTAACCTAGTCAACCTCCAAACCTGAGGCTCTACCCACTCCAGCCAAATTTCTCTGAGAATGGTTCCCGGAGGCTGTGATGTCACTTAACCTCATTTACTGGACCAAATCTGGAGGGAGAACCCACGTTAGGTGGCCCAGGGGTTTGTCCCCAAGTTGGGGGGGGGGACCAGGGGAAAAAATAGTAGCCATTTTTACATTGTTTTGTATAGTATTTATTGATTCAGGAAACAAACACAAAATTCTGAATAAAATTACTTGGAAACTGAAAAAAAAAGTATTATAACTTCTCTAAGCTTCAGGTTCTTCATCCATAAAAATAGGTAATCTTCCTTTATGAAGTTGTTTGAAGGAATGTATGTAGAGTACTTCCTACAGATCTTGGGTAAGGGTAAGCACTCAGTAAGCGTTTTCTCTTGTTATCATTAAACTGTGACCCCTGTGGGTGTGGGTCTGTGTCTCTGCCAGGCTGAATCCCAGGGGTTTAGCACAGCAGGTGCTCAGCGCAGGTGAGGGGAGTGAATGAACAGCTCTTTCAAGCCCCTGCCCTAGCAGTTCTCAAGTGCGATCTGGGAACCAAACCATGGAGGTTGCCAAGACGCCTTCAGGTTATTTGTGAAGTCAAAACTACTTTTGTAATAATACTAAGATGTTATTTGTGTCTATTAGTCTCATTCTCACATAAGTGCATGGAGAATGACAAGTTCATTGATATCGTTTCAGATTCCGCATTGTAAGCAACCTTTAAGAAACTCCCACAAGCCCTGGCTGAGGAGCTCGGTTGGTGGGAGCATTGTCCTCCTATGTTCAGTACCCCGTTAGGGCATCATAAGCATAAACAGGGGAATCCAGGGATGAGTGGAACAAATCCATGTTTTTCTCTCTCTCTTTTTCTGCACCTCCCCCTCTAAAGAGTCAATAAATAAAATTTTTAAAAAGAAAAAAAAAGAAACTCCCATGAGTCAAGTTTTGGTGAGGTATCAAAGAATCATGTCCACACTTACCTGAAAAAGCAATTAAAATACTCCTCCTTTTTCCAGCTGTATATAGAAGGATGGCTTTTCTTCATTATACTTGAGCCCAAAGAGCATATTGCAACAGATTAAACACAGGAGCAGATAAGAGAATCTGCTGTGTTCTGTTAATCTAGATAGTAAAGAGATAACAAAAATATAAGCAACGCTACTCTTCACACTATTTTCTTTTGTTTGAGAAAATAGTTATTTTTCATAAAAATATATTTTTTATGTTCAAGTACAAAGGAACTACTAAGGTTATTTTAAGATCGATAAGTAATGAAAAAAATTGTTTTAACTTCTAACATGGTAAATGTTGATAGTTAGAACCCAGGTAAACAATGTTCTTCGGACCCCTCAGTAACTGTTAAGAGTATAAAGGAGTTCTGATACCAAAAACGCTGAGAACCCATGTTCTGCCTTGCGCTTGGGTCCCTGCCACCCCACCCCAGACAATTGGCAGCCAGCAAGTGCTTTTAACACTTGGCGGGCGGGAGGTCGGTCACCGCCTCCTGGGGGCGCTGGTTTTATCTTTGGAGGACTCTGCCACCTGGGAAGTGCTGCCTCGGAGGCTCCCTCTGAGTGGCGTTCCATCCGCCCCTGGTTGTCGTTTGGAAGCGTCTTCAGGTCTGGAAGACGGTCAGCAATTAATCGCCCTTCGTGGTGGCTCCAGTGGGAATCAGCCCGTCCTTCTCCGGTGACGAATGCGCACACATATTTCCAGCGGAGGCCAGAGTTTGCAGGGAGCGTTGTCAAGCCAGAGTACTCGGGGCTGCTCTTCCAGGAACCCGGAGATCGTCTCCAGTCCCACACTGAATTCGAGAAACTCATTCTGTTGTTCCTTTACTCAATAAATTAATTTTTCCATTATAAATCACACATGCTTATTAAGGAAAAAAAGAGAGGTAGGGAAGAAAGAGCCTTAGAAAGGAAAATTGAGTGACAATTACCCTGGACTTTCTTGCCCTGGCATTTCCCTTTCAGGCTCACCCATTGCAATTTTCAAAGAACCAGGCTCGCACGCTCTGCCTCCAGAGGCCCCCTGCTGCGCGGCGCAGGGGCAGCTGCCGGTTGGCATTCGGACGCCCGTTCAGGATGGTTGAGGAGGGCGCTCAGAGGGAACGGGAAGCTCTGGAGAAGGAGCCTGATTCTTCTCTCTGAGGCACTCTAGGTCAGGTCTCTTCAGGTTATGTGAGGTCAGAGGGGACAGAGACTGCTACAGCAGCACCTAGTCAAATTTTTTTGGCATGTTTTTGTATGTGTATAAAATACGAAGTTCTTCCACAAGTTCTACTTCTTAGAATCTATCCTACGGAAATGATGATTTAGACGACATTATGAGTCTATCATTATTCATAAAATTTGGAAACAAACTAAATGTTCTAGAAGAAAGGTTTACTTTAAAAACTATGTGGAAGGGACTGTGAGGGTACACGAGAAATCTCTGTACTTTCCCCCCAATTTTGCCGTGAACCTAAAACTGTTCTAAAAAAATAAAGTCTTAAAAAAGAATGCTCTCTGTTTGATTGTGTATTCTGTGCTGGTTAAAATAAAAAAATGACATTTATAAAGTCCTTTTATTGACATGGAAAAATTCTCAACATAGGTTATTAGTTGCCTAGAATATGACTAGCATATAGTTTTAAAATAAATATTCGTTGATTGAAAATTGAATAAGAAACTGTACAAACAGTTCTGTCTCGATTATATAAATATTTTTGTAACCGAGTTAAAAAAGGTTATCCTAATGGTTGGCACTAATGTATCTCATTGGGAGGAAACTGTCTTTGTGAAAGCACTTAGAAATGCCCAGCAGGCACAGATGTCTGCAGACACCCAGCCCAGACAAGGGGAAGCTGCTTTGCATAAGCAAGCTTCCTCCCCAGGAGAGGAATTGGTTTACTGCTTGTGGAAGGGAGGGGGAAGCAAGAAGTTGCCGGTCAACACTCAGAATTGCAAATAGACATTAACTCAGTCTGGCACTAGGAGAAAAACCCAGGTACCTTGTTAGACATGGTTAAGTTCAGGGACTCAAACTTTATCACCCATATTTGAGTTCCATTTCCATCCTTTGGTTTTGTTTTCTTTTGTCTGATTCATTCTTAAGCAGGCTCTTCACATGTGATAGCAAAGAGGGGGACTAGCAATGCTAGGCTGACGTTTCTACCCCTTCTGAGACTCCAGGGGCAAGAAGAGTTCTTCATTTACTAAGAGTTCCCATAAGCCTGAATAGCAGTCTGGCCAGGGTCATTACCTGGGTGTGGTCACTTGTTTGGATCACTGGCATAGGGTGGGGTTCCTGGGTTCCTGGTGTGGAGTTTCTAAAACTCTCGGAATTTCCTGAGTGATAAAAGTGTCTTTATTAATCATAGTGCCATGTATCACTTCTGAGTTTCTGCTGATGTAGTGACTCATAGTGGGACCCCATACAGCTTCAGGATGGAGACTGGTCACCAGCAAGACTGAGAAGTTTGGGTCTTTGAGCCAGCCCAGCCTCCAGGGAGGGAGGAGAGGTTGGATATTGAGCTCAGTCAAGTGGCCCACGGTTTAACCAGTCACGCCCACACAATGAAACTCTAAGGAAACCCTGCACACCGAAGCTTGGTGGGGGCTCCCGGCTGGGGAACACACTGTTGGGAAGATGAGGTGCCCTCATTCGGTCGGGAAGAGCCCGCCCCCATCTGTGTTCAGAACCCTCCCAGACCTTCCCCTACGTTTTTTTTCTCACTTGGCTGGTCTATTTGTATGCTTTAAAATAAAACTGTTAATTGTTAGTGCTATCCTCAGTTCTGTGAATCATTCTAGTGAATTCTAGAACCTGAGGGGGGTTGTAGGAACCCTCTCATTGGTCAGAAGTATGGGTTGTCTGGGACCCTGCTTGCTACCGGTGTCTGAAGTCGGGACAGTCTTGCTGGGGACTGTGCTCTGAGACCTGTGGAGTCTGACTTCACTCATCGGGGTGCTTACTGTTCAGGCCTGAATTGCAGTGCACCAGCTGACGTCAGAGCAGCTGGGGGTGGAACAGGTTTGACTCTGAACCTATAACAGATCACAGAACTGAGGATGAGGTGTGGAACCAGGAGCCCAGAGGCCAATTGGCTGTAGTATCAGAAGACCACTGGGAAAGAACTGAAATCTTGAGGAGGGCTTTGGATTTCCTCAAGATATGGAATTGGAGAGAAGAGGAGTTGTTAGTTTGTGAACTGGCTCCATGCACAGAGGGCAGGGAAAGGCCAAAAAAAAAAAAAAAAAAAAAAAGTCAGACCATTCCAGGTTTGTAGGTGGCAGATTTATATAATAAGCAAGGAAGCTTATTTATGAGGCTTGTCTTGGGTAGCCACAAGGCAAGATTTCCACACCGTCCCTCCAGAATCTAAAAGTTTATGTAGAGGCCTTAACTGGGTTCAGTCACATATACTGCCAAGATGGTCTCAACACCACCTTACTCTCCCAAGGTCACGTCCTTGGAACAGCTCCCACGTGAGAATGGTAGGCAGAGCCTGCATTCCAAGGACAGGGCAGGGGCGAAGAGTCTCCAATTGCCTGGGTCCAGCTTGGGGTCGACAGAGGGTCACGTCCTCTTGATTGCCCCCTCCAACACTCCACCCGTTGTGACTGGCTCCTGTGACATCACAGGCCACCCCTCTTCAGCAGTGCGCCCTGGGTGGGGCACAGTCAGCGAGGGGCCTCACTAGCACGGAGGCGGCGTGTCTGGTGGCTGTGCGGCTGCACTGGAGGCAGATGCCACAGCCACAAT